GAGGGGGGGGGGGCGGGAGAGGAGGGGGGGGGGGGAAGTGGGGAGGGGATGGGGAACATACCCTCAGTCATGACATCTGCGCTGAGCTTGCGCTTGAGAGGGTTCTCGGAAGTGGCAGCCATGGTTGATACGGGTAGTGGCTTGGAGTTGTGTGGTGGTGGTTGCCAGCGGTGGCAGTGGTGGTGGCAGTGGTGGCGGTGCCTGTGGCTCCGCCCGCGGTGAATCCATTTTGCCCGCAGTCGAGTTCGACTACGTCACCACCACATCACCATATGCCTTTATTTGCTGGTGGCTGGCGCCAGGGGGGGGATGGGTTACGCGGTTACTGCTCGGGCGGGGAGCTGGCAGCATCAGCCTCGAGCTGCCACAGGCCATGATCGATGCCGCCACGGGTAAAGATGGCAAAGGTGCCGTAGCCCGGGATGAGGAGCGGGGGATGAGCGAGCTCGCCACCAGCATCGACGGCAGCAGCGATGGCAGCCTCCACATCGTCAACAAGCCAGTACGGGCGGACAACAGGGAGCTCGGTCTCACGCAGCGGCGCCCGCACGCCCAGCAGTCCGCCGCCAGCCATCTTTGCCACCTGAGCGTTGCCGAGCATGGGTACAAGCTCAAACTCGAGGCCACCGCCATATGCCACAGCATAGCTCGCACACACACCTTCCACATCCGTCGTCACAATCTCCAGGTACTGCGTCTGCATCTCGTCCAAACTGAGCTTCAAGAGTCGTGTCGTGCCTGCCACCCACTCCCACTGTCAGGTGCTGCCGGGCAACCTGACCTGGCTGATCATATCGGGCTGAGAAAATAGCTCGAATGCTAGGTGTTGGCTTTCTCCTTGCCTGGTACATCTCGATCAGCATGTGCGATGTCCACATCTGTGGCGCAGGTCGGCTTCCAGGACAGGCAGATGCAGGTGCAGATGCAGACGCAGACTCTTGACGCAGACACAGCGCACAACCTGACTCACCACTCATTCGGTATGCAGCAAATTACCGAGCTTGCCAGCCGGGCGACGAGCCTCCTCCCAACGCCATTGCAGCCTGTGCTTGCTGTGGTAGGCGCAGTGGTTGTAGCAGGGGTGACGGCCAAGGCCTCGTCTACCGCCATTGTGGCTACCCTCAAGTGGCTCCGCATCACCTCGTCCTTTGCCCTCGCCTTTGAGCCGCAGGTCGACGGCGATCACGTGTGCAAGGACGAGGCAGGGACGGGGCTCTCGGCAGAGGTCATTTCCAAAATCGCGGCGGCGAGCGCACAGGAGCTGGCGAGGGCCATCGTGACCAGATCGTACTCGGCCGAGGAGGTGATGAAGGCGTATGTGTTTCTCGCGCTGCGTGCGCATGCGGCGACCAACTGCCTCACCGCTTCGATGTTTGACGACGCGCTCGAGGAGGCGAGGATGGCGGACGAGGTGCTGGACAAGCTGCTAGCGTCGGGGCTCTCGTCGGAGGATGATGTGCTAGCGGAGAAGCCGCTCTTTGGCGTCCCCATCTCGCTCAAGGACCAGATCGTGGTCCGTGGGACACGGGCGACGTGCGGGCTCAAAGCTTTCTACCTTGCTGGCCCTTCTGACGACGACGGGCTACTCACACAGGCTATCCGCGCTATTGGCGCCATCCCGTTTGTCAAGACCAACGTGCCGCAGTCGCTCATCTCGTCCGAGACGACCAACCACCTGTTCGGAACGACGGTGAACCCGTGGAACAGCGCGCGGACGCCCGGTGGCTCGTCCGGCGGCGAGGGTGCACTGATTGGCGCCGGTGGCTCGATCGTCGGCATCGGGACCGACATCGGCGGCTCGCTCCGCATCCCTGCGACCTTTAACGGGCTGGCGACGATCAAGCCGACGCCGGCGCGGGTGACCCGGCGCGGAGTCGTCAAGCCCGCCACCGCCGCGCAGAGCTACATTCAACCGGTTGCGGGCCCACTGGCGCGGACGGTGGGTGATGCGGAAGCCCTCCTTGCCGCCATCATCAACTCGGGCATCATGGCTGCCCACGACGTGACGACGGTGCCGCTACCGTACGACATGACGCGGGCTGACCCGGAGGCCGGCAATGCCAAGCCCGTGATTGGCTACTACGACGACGACGGTTATTTTCCCGCTTCGGCTGCATACAAGCGGGCGGTGGCCATGGCGGTGGCAGCTCTCGAGCGCGCCGGCTACACGGTGGTCCCGTTCCAACCGCCGGCCATCGACACCGCCATCAACCTTTGGTGCTCCATCCTAGTCGCGGACGGCATGGACGGCTTTGTGGAGGCTGCCGGCGGCGAGACCTTCATCAAGCAGTATCTGCTGATGATGGCGTCGGCTCGGGCACCGGCGGCGGTCCGTGGCGTTGCCCGCGCGCTCATGTGGGCGCTGGGCATGCGCCGGACGGCCGAGCTTGCCGGCACAGCCCATCCGCGCACAGTTATCGAGTCTGAGAAGCTCGAAGCGCAGCGGGCGGCGTACGTGCACGCGTTCTACGACTCGTGGGCAGTGGCCGGCATCGACGCCATGCTCTGCCCGGGCTTTGGCGTCGCCCCGTTTGTCCTCGGCGACTCGGCCAAGCTCAACCCGTCGGCCGCCTCGTACACCATGTTCATCAATCTCCTCAACACCGCCGCAGGCACCGTCCCGGTCACTGTTGTTGACGTCGACGAGCAGATCTATCAGGGCCCGGTGTTCTCGCTCGAGCCGTTCCACTCTGCCGCTCGCGCCGCCACCGCCTCTTCGGTTGGTCTTCCCATCGGCGTCCAGGTGTACGGCAAGCCGTTTGACGACGAGACCGTCGTCCGCGTTCTCAAGGACATCGAGGCCGGCGTCGGCTTTACCGCCGTCTCTCCGCTCCGGGCCACGATCTGACTCTCGTTGTTAACACACACGTCTTGACGATAACAGAGTGCCAAAGCAGCGGCACTCGACTCTGCACGCCATGGCGGATGATGGCGGTAGTCGGATGCGTCGCGTGGTGGCGGTGAGGGGCGACGATGCGGTGCTAACAGCACGTGCAGCAGCCATGGCAGCAGTAGCCGCAGCAGACGTGAGGACCGGCGTGGACGAGCGGGCTGCCGATGAGAACGATGTGGGCACGTCGGTGCTGTGGGTGACCGAGGCCGAGGCGGCGGCGGACGAAATGGCGATGCTCGAAGCGATGGGGGCGAGAACGACGACAGTGTGCAAGGTGAAGAAGGTGAAGCACCAGCTGGGAATGACCTTTGCTGTTGTGGTCCTTCATGCACATGCCTCGCTTGCCCCCAACGCACTCGGCGTCGTCCAAGGTCTGGTCCTTGCCGGCGGCCTCCTTGTCCTTCGCCTCCCGCCGCGCACCCGCCACATCCGTACAGACTCGCTCTTTGCCAGCCCGTCACGGACAACTCGCGTGCCGACTGGCGCTGCAAGTCAATGTGCTGACAGTGCTGACGGTGGTTGCAGCGGAGGAGGGCTGGCCGGGAACAGCTCGCCCTTTGCACGCCGGTTCGAACGGTTGCTGGCCCGCCATGCCGCCGCGGTTCCGCGTGTCTTTGTCGAGGTGGACGGCGAGGTTGGCGGCGAGGCACTGGAAGAGCTTGTGGCCTCGATCCCGACTACGATCACGCTCAAGGGCAGCAGTGAGCAGCGCGAGGTTGTGGCCGCGCTGAGCGAGGCGTTGGTCAGCGGTGCTACTGGTGTCCGGCTAGTGGTGGCTGATCGCGGACGGGGCAAGTCGGCGGCGCTCGGGCTTGCACTGAGAGCAGCAAGTGAGCACGGACTGAGCCTAGCAGAGGTGATGGTGGTTGGTGCGGGAAGTGACAGGGAACACAGCGAAATCGCAAAGTTTGGGCCGGCTGAGCTGTTGCTGAGCGAGCCTGAGGCCATGTACAAGGCAGCGTCGGCGGAGGCGGCGACAGCCGTGCGGGCATATGTCATCGACGAAGCGGCGCAAGTGCCGGTGAGTGTACTCAAGGCGCTAGTCAAGGTACACGGGCAGCGTGCGCTGCTTATCTTTGCCACGACTGTCCACGGCTACGAGGGGACCGGGCGCGGGTTTGTCATCCGGTTTGCCGACTGGCTCTCGAGCTCGGCGTACACAGGAGAGGTGGAGAAGCACACGCTGAAGGCGCCGATTCGATGGGATGCCGGCGACAGCATGGAAGCGTTCTTCAACGAGCTTCTGGGGCTCAAGGTGGAGCCGGCAGCGATTGGCGAGGCCGACGCGGGAGCGATCCTGGACGATGTCAACGGCATGCTCGAGTACGCGGTACTGAGCCATGACGAGCTCGCAGACAACGACTCGCTACTGGACGAGGTCTTTGGCCTCCTTGTGGGCGCACACTACCGGACGACACCCGACGATCTGTGGCGACTGCTGGATGCGCCGAACATGGAGACGCACGTTTTGCGCGAGCGGAGCGGCGAGCGGCGGGTGGTGGCGGTCAACGTGGTGGCGCGCGAGGGTGGGTTTCCAGTCGAGAATGCGAAGGCTATTGCTCGTGGCAAGATGAACCTACGCGGACATGTTCTGGTGGACATCATGGCCAAGCATCTCGGATGTCGCGCGGCGCCGAGTCTTGTGCTTGTGCGCTCTGTGCGGACGGCGGTGGTCGAGGTGCTGCGGCGTGGCGGGCTGGCGACGCTGCTCATTGAGAAGGTACACAGCGTGCACGCTGACGCCGATGCGTTTGGTACACTGTTTGGGGCGACTGCTGGGCTCGTTGCCTTTCGGCATGGCCTCGGGTACCACGCCATCCGGCTGTCGGCTACGCGCGGAGTGCGGGCGGGCGAGCCGTCGATTGCGATGATGCGGGCGATGAGCCCGGAAGGCGAGGCAGTGCTGGCCCATTTGCGCAAGCTCTTTGGTTTCGGCCTGTCAAAAGTCCTCTCGCTGGCCTCGGTGAGCCTGGCGAGACCTGTCGCGAAGATGTTGCTGGCAGACGCGCCGACGAGCGAGCGGCTGGAGCCGGATCTCCTCCACGAGGTTGTTGCCGAGGTCTACGCACACGGGGCAGCTGTCGACGAGTCAGTCATGGCAGCACTGGCACAATGGCTTAGCGATTACGCCGCTTCTGTGGATGCAGCCCTCGCACGTGGAGTGATCAAGCCCAACGAGCGCGCCCTGCTCACCGCTCGAGTCCTGGATGGACTCGACCTCGGCGATGCGGCCGCGGTCGCAGGCATGAAGCACGGAGGCGCAGCCGCCAAGTCTCTCCGACAAGTGTTCCGCCGACTGGTTGAAGCCGTACGCGAAGAGAGTGGCTAGGTGAGACGGCCCCGAGTGTTTGCCATGTCAAGCTCGATCGATGTGGACCGAGTGTTAAACACCTTCAGCGAGTGCGTGCCACAGCTGTCTCGGCACGAGGGCAAGTCGCGAGAGTCGGAGAGTGAGACAGCGAGAGGAGCGCTCTGTACAGCAACGGCTGGCGTGTCTGCAGTAGTTGACACTAGCTGTGGTTGTGGTTGTGACTACATTGGCTGCACTTGTTGGGAAGCTGTCCTGGCTGAGGCTCAAGTGCCAGCAACGGAAGCGCGCTGAGACGTTGGACGAGTTGGGCGCTGACTCGGACCGCTTTGTAGGCTGTCATCGACTGAGAAAGGATGATTGTGACGGCGTTTGTGGAGCAGGATGATGGGTCGCTGAAGAAAGTCTCGTATATCTTTCTCCTTGACAAGGTAGGTGGTGATGAGAGTCGGCGGTGGCGGAGGGAGGGGAGGGGGGGGGGGGGGGGGGGGAGGCATGCACTCATCGATATATTGTTGTGCGAGCAGAAGGATTTTGCGTCGAACAAGACTGGACGACTCGGCAAGAAAGTCGGGTTGGAGGGCGATGGGGCGTGGGATGGGGTGCATGTGTATCTGTTGGATCCGCCTGGCAACGTTGTGGCGCATGTAGTCGAAGACAGCGAGACCCCGGCCGGGCTGGGGATGGTCAAGACGACACTGATGCTGATCACCAAACGGACGCTGCATGTCGGGGATGCCAAAGATGCGCCGTCCCGAGAGGGCAAAGCGACGGCGTGTACTGTGGATAGGCCGGGAGAGAGTGGCGGCGCGAAGGCTGACACAGATGGAGGCGCGGACGCGCTGCTGGATATGATTGACGATGCGTTTGGCGACGACGACGATGTTGCGCCGCCGCCGCCGGCAGAGGAGCCGCCGGCAGACGGAGACGCGGACGCGCTGCTGGGTATGATTGACGATGCGTTTGGCGACGACGACGATGTTTCGCCGCCGCCGCCGGCAGAGGAGCCGCCGGCAGACGGAGACGCGGACGCGCTGCTGGGTATGATTGACGATGCGTTTGGCGACGACGACGATGTTGCGCCGCCGCCGCCGGCAGAGGAGCCGCCGGCAGACGGAGACGCGAACGCGCTGCTGGGTATGATTGACGATGCGTTTGGCGACGATGGCGACAACAATTTCCCCCGCCGCCGCCAACAACAGCGACACTGGCAACGACGACCGCGACCGATGGTGGCGGAGTCGCTGTGACTGAGCTCGAGGCTGCTGTGGCCAAGGCCAAGGCTGATGCTGAGGCTGAGCTGGAGGCTGCTGTGGCCAAGGCCAAGGCTGATGCTGAGGCCGAGTTGGCCAAGGCCAAGGCTGATGCTGAGGCTGAGCTGGATGCTGCTGTGGCCAAGGCCAAGGCTGATGCTGAGGCTGAGCTGGAGGCTGCTGTGGCCAAGACAATCACGCAAGCAGATGTGGATGCTGCTGTGGCCAAGGCCAAGGCTGATGCTGAGGCCGAGTTGGAGGCGGCTGTGGCCAAGGCCAAGGCTGATGCCGAGGCGGAGCTCGAAGATGCTGTGGCCAAGGCGAAGGAAGAGGCAGCGGGCGAAGTTGCTGCTGAAACCGCGTCGGCAATCACGCAAGCAGATGTGGATGCTGCTGTGGCCAAGGCCAAGGCTGAGGCCAAGGCTGATGCTGAGGCCGATTTGGCCAAGGCCAAGGCTGATGCCGAGGCGGAGCTCGAAGCTGCTGTGGCCAAGGCGAAGGAAGAGGCAGCGGGCGAAGCTACTGCTGAAGCTGCGTCGGCAATCACGCAAGCAGATGTGGATGCTGCTGTGGCCAAGGCCAAGGCTGATGCTGAGGCCGAGTTGGAGGCTGCCGTCGCCGCAGCCCGCAAGGAAGCTACTGCAAAGGCCGCGGCCAACGCCACGCCTGTTATCACACAGGCGGACCTCGACGCTGCTGTCGCCGCAGCCCGCGAGGAAGCCGTCACCTCGCTTGCTGCCGCCCAAGGTATGCCGGATACCACATCGGATCGCATTGACGAGCTCGAGCGCACCGTCGCCGCTGCCGCAGATACCATCGCCCGCCTCGAGGCCGAGCTCTTAACTGCCCGCGCTGACTCGGAGCTCGCTTCCGTGGCTTTAACAGCCGCGCCGGCATCACCCGATCCCACCAAACGGCTACCTAGCCCCACACCAATCGCAGTTTCAGCCGATGACGTTCTGGTCTCCATTGTGGATGATCTCGTTGCCGAGTCGGCCGCCGTGCTGGCTCTCGACGCCGCCGTTCTCGCCTTCTCGGAAGCGTATGAGAGCAAGGCGAAGAAGCTGAAGAAGCTGAAGAAGATGTCTGCCGCTGCTGCCGAGACACCACCACTCGCTGCTGGAGGCTCTGCCTCTACAGCGACCACCGCCGCCGCCACGCCTTTCTCAGCTGCTATTCAATCGTCGGCGTCGCACCACAAGTCGCTCGCTGCTGCATCGACATCGCTGCTTCAGGCGATTGAAGACGGCATCCGGACAGAGTCGCTACACGAGGTCGATCAACCAGGTCTGGCCAGCTCGAGCTCGATTACTGAGCTCCGTCTTGGCACCACCCGGCGCGCTCGCTCTCGTTCCGATCTGCCGCCGCCACACGAGACCGCCGCGTCGGCACGTCTTATTGTCTCGGCCGACTCGGGCGCGACCCGCCTTGTCCGCGGTGACTTTGTGCCGGACGCTTCGCTGGTCACTTTTGTCACCTCGGACTCGGTCGAGCTGTACGTTCCACTGCCGCTTGCCATGAAGGCTGGCCTCGTCAAGTCCGAGTACCGCCGGCGCCGTGCCAAACTCGGCCCCGGCATTCCGGTCGAGCTTCCAGTCTTTGACCTCGCCCGCGTCCCAGCCTCGCTCTTCAAGGGCGTCGTCCGCTATCTCGCCAACCCCCGGGCGTCGACCAAGCGGGGGCTCAAACTCCTTGTCGAGATGGATCCCTGGGCCGGCTTGCACGCCGCCAACGACCTGCGCATATTCTCGCTCTTTGCCCACACCGCCGCCTACCTTTGGCACCACTATGATCCTGACGCTGTCCTCGACTTTCTTCTCTCGTCGTACATGATGGATCTCCGCGTCGAGACCTGGTTCACGCTGGAGGCCAAGCTACCCAACACGCTCAAGCCCGAGGGAGACTCGGTCTTTGACGTCCTCTGGTTCCTCCGCTCCTTCCGCGAACTCCATGTTCGCATGCCGTTTGCACGCAAGCGGGGCTCTTGGCGCAAGTACTACGTCGACCATACCCCCCGCGCATAAAAGTGTACACACTTTACTAGAAAGCGCCGCGTCTAGTCGAGTACAACGACTTGCGGACTTTTGTCCTGCTGTTCTCCCGGCTGCTCCAAGCCGCTCGCGACCACCGCACTCTCGTCCTGTGCCTTGGCCTGAGCTGCGGCCATCGCCGCTTGCATCGCCTCGCGCTGTCGCTGCGCAGACTGCTCCATCGCTTGCAGACCAAGCATGTGATCCTCGGCCGAGTACTGGTACGGCATGCGCACCGGGCCCATCGGCATCATGCCGAACCCGGGCATCATTGGATGTGTAAACGGCACCGCTGCCGTAGCAAAGTCCAGCCCTGGCACGCCCGAGAATGCCATCGGCGGCATCATCGGCGGATGCATTACGTTCCACCCAGCCTGTTGCGCCGCAAGCTGCTCATGCGCTTTCAGCTGATCCCGCACATGCTGAGCGGCCATCGCTTCGAGCATCGCGCGAGTCGGCCGATGAAAGTCATCGCCCCTGCTGGGGCCCGCGCTAGGCGTCGACGACTGCACAACGTCCATTGCAGCGGCTTCGTCCACTGCAGCGGCTTTGTCGTTGGAGCCGCTCGCGGCACTGCCTTCCACCCTGGGCGACGGCGTCGCGCTGATCGGGGCCGGCGCACGTGTCTTGCGCTTTGCGGCCTTGTCCAGCGCAGCCTTCTCGGATGCTTTTGACAGCAGAGGGCCGGTTGGCGCGTCAGGTAGCAGCGAGCCGCCGTTGCCGAGCTTGCGGAAACCACCGGCCGTTCTTGGCTTCTCAGCTGGTGCCGGCTCGTTCTCAGCTTCGAGGTCGACAACCTCGGGTGATGCTGAAATGTCAATGACCGGCTTGGCCGGCTGCTGCTGCTGTTGTTGTTCTTGCTGCTGCTGTTGCTGCTGCGGTGGTGCTTCACAGTCCATGACCTCACCGCGAAGCACCGCTGCGAGCTTGCGGTAGTGCATCGCCGTCGGGTTGGCGTTCGGCGCAAAGGCTTCGGCCACCTCCTGCTGCGCCGGCGAGAGAATGGGTCCCTCGAGCATCTGCTGTCGGCGGGCGCTCCGCTTTGGCCGCGGCGGCGACGGCGGGGCCTGCTCGTAGTCGCCCATGGACTCGATGGCAAACTGGGCAAGGACTCGCCTGAAGAGCTGCTGGTGGTACTCGAGCCGCTCCGGGTCGAGAGCCACGTCTTCGTCCTCGAGCACCACAAGAACTTCCTTGAGCGAGCAGATGATCGGCCGCCAGTACTCAAAGTACCGCGGCTTGGTCCTGAGCCCCGGATCACCGGCCAGCCGCTCAAGGCGAGCAATGCCGCGGCGGTTCGTCTCCATCAGGCCCACAAGGATGGGATCGCTGCGATTGCTCTCGGGTAGGCTCGTCCACGAGACCTCCGGCTGTGTCTCGAACAGGTCCGCGTTAAAGAGCGTCGAAATCTCCGAAGTGTACAGCATCCGCGCTGCTGGCGAGTCGTCGACGACGCCCGACGAGATCGACTTTTTGAAGACCTGCCGCCGGTGGATGTAATCCTCGACCGTGGTGTGGGTCAGGAGCCGGTACACGTACACCGTCTTGGGCTGGCCGAACCGGTACGGCCGGACAATGGCTTCGTCGTCGTGGCATGGATTCCACGAGACATCAAAGAGAATGACTCGGTTGGCGCCAATGAGGTTGATGCCGAGGCTGCCGGCCCGCGTCGCCATCAAGAACAGGTCGCGCTCGCCGCCGTTGAACTCGTCAATCATCGCCTGCCGCTTGCCTGACGGCGTCGAGCCGTCCATCAGAAAGTGTGAGAAGCCAGCGTCGCGGACCATGCCCGCCAGGTACTGCAGCGTCGACCGCCGCTTTGAGAAGACCACCACCCGGTCCCCCACCTGCCGCGATGCAATCAAGATCCACAGTAGAACCATGCACTTGCCCGAATGTGCCACCGACGCGAGTTGCTCGCCCTCGTAATCATTGAGAATAGGGCGTGCCCACGAGTACTCGTCGTGTCGCCACACCTCCATCGTTGCCTCGGGCTCAAAGTCCGACGACGAGCAGACCGGTGCGTCGTCGGACTCGGAAAAGAGCGCAAACGCCGCTGCCACCGACGACGACAGCGAGTCTTCGTCCCAGGACTCACCAGATCCAGAGCCCGAAATCTCCTCAGCGCCGTCCTCGTCGTCGACGCCCTTGTTACTCTTGTCGTCTTCCTCATCCCCAGCCGCCTTGTTGTTGGCAGCGGTATCGTCGGCGGTTGCTGTCTCAGCCTCAACCGGGTCCGCAGCGGCCTCGGCGTCGGCCTCAACAAGTTCTACGCCTTCGATCTGCGGCAAGCCAACGTCACCGGGCACGTAGCAGTGTGTTGCCGGGACGCCCGGCGGCGGGGAGCCAAAGTCGTTGTACACATCGTCGTCGTCGTCGCCGGTCCGGCGCCGCTTCTTCTTGAGCCCCGTGTTGAACTCGAGCGGGCGGCAAAAGTCCGGGTCTTCCTCATGGCGCATGATCTCCGACTTGAGAATGGCCGGATGAGCAAGGAGCGAGTTGGCGATGTGCTCGTTCTCCAGGCACATGTTGCGGTCGAGCTTGCCGTTGCCTTTGACGCCATGTTGGGCGAGAAAGGCCTGATACAGTCGGACTTGCAGCGGCGCGAGCTGGCAAGTAAGGGAGACTTCGACAATACCGTTGAGCCGGTCGTGCAGGAGCGCCACCGTCCGACGGTGGACAATGGTCTTGAGAAGCTCGGCCAGAATGTGTGTGCGCGCCCGCGAGAGCTCGATCTCTGACGGCAACGAGTCGACACACTGGCCTGCAGTGATGGGCACCGCAAACATCGACTTGAACGAGGCAATGGTCGAGAGGTAGTCAGGGCGGACCCAGTCGACCATGCACCAGTACTCTTCGAGTCTGTTTTGGAAAGGGTAGCCAGTGAGTGCTATGCGGCGCGGGGTGGCCACTTGCTTGAGCAGCTGGGAGACCCTGGTCTTGGACGACCGGATGATGTGCGCCTCATCGGCCACCACCAGGTCTGGGCCCGGCGAGAGGAGACATTCGCGGATGATAGCAAGCGCATCTTCTCCGTACGTCGCCTCCATGCGCCTTACCCGCTTTTTGTGGGCGATTTCGGCCTTGGCCTGGGCCTTGGCCGACTTGACCTTTGCCGGGTTCACCACTGAGAGCAGGTTGCAAAACATGGTAAAGCCGCAGATGAGCACGCCACCGGCCGTGTGCCACTCGCGGAGAACCTCGGCGCGCTGTGCCACCGGAATCGAAGAGGCCATAACCCGAACCGTGGGGCACGCTGCTGCGGGCAGCCACTTGTGAAACTCGCGCTCCCAGTTGTCAATGACGGTGACCGGCGCAAGCACCAGCGCCTGCTTGCCGATCTGTGCCCGGAGGAAGGCCTCAATGAGCGAGACAACCTGCAGCGTCTTGCCTAGGCCCATGTCATGGGCAAGGAGGCAGCCGAAACCCGTCGACGTTGACACGTGGTCCCACATGAACTGGATGCCCTCGCGCTGGTGCGGCATGAGCTTGCCCGCAATGGCGTCATGGATATAGACGGTCAGCATCTCGTCCTCGTCGTCCTCGTCATCCTCGGCCTTGGTCTCGTCTCTGGTCTTGGTCTCGGCCTCGGCATCGTCAACAGGCTTGCCTGCCGCCGGCACGACATCCATCGGAGCCTCGGCAGGGCCGACCTCGGCCTTGGCCTCGTCTTTGATCTTGGTCTCGGCCTCGGCAGGGCCGGCCTCGGCGTCGTCCATGGTCGGCACGGGTGTCGGCTTCACCTCGGCCTCGACAAGGACTCCAAGAAGCGAGACAGACTTCTTCTTCGGCAGCGCGTACCGCAGTGGCAGCGCGCCGGTCGAGTCCGAGGATGTCATGCCCATGGCGTGGGCGCGCGCGACCTGGTGCAAACGCTTGCGCTCACCGCGCCGTGCTGCTTCGGTTGCTTGCTCCTCCTCTTCGGTCAGCTTGACCTCCTTGGGCGGAGCGCGCGGACGGCGCTTCCGCTTGCGCGGACGCGGTGAGTTGGCTGACACCGAGCTCTCGTTCGACGATTGGTCGCTATCAGCGCCACGCTTGCGCTTGCGAGCAGATGTGGCTTTCTTGCCCTTGGTTGCACTTTTCGCCTTTGACTTTGTCTTGGACTTTGTCTTTGTCGCGGTCCTTTTAGCCAACCTTTTGGCCGGCTTCTTTGCTGTCTTTTTGGCCGGCGGCTTCTTGCTGCGACCGGTTGTTGATGTCTTCTTCTTGGCCGCGGTCTTGGTCGGCTTGGACCGCGACTTGGCCCGCGACACGGCTCGCGACTTGGACGACTTGGCGGTGCCATCCCAAGAAGACTCGGAGTTTGGGTCCAAAGAGTCCTCAAACTCGGACGGGTGCTCCCACGACGACTGGGGCTCGCTTGGCGCGAGATCGGAGTCGGAGAACCTTTCGGGGACAGCACTTGCGCCCGAGCTGGATTCATCCAAGACGAGTGCAGGGTGTGCCGGCCGAGCCGGGCGGCGTAGGCCAGAGCCAAACAAGCGCGGCGGTGGCAGAGTCACATCCGCCAGCAGTGAGTCCGGAATGTCGCTAGCCGACGACGTGAGCTCGGACGAGGCAGTTGAGCACGACGACGAACGCGACGATGCCAAGCCGCGGGCAGACCGCTTCCCCTTCCTCCTGTTGTTACCAGTAGCCTTGCTACCTTCATTGCCCTTGGCTTTGGCCTGTGACCTGGGCGTAGTCTTGGCCTTGGTCTTGCCCTTGGCCTTGGTCTTGGCTGTGGAGCAGGATCTGCGAGTAGCCGTCTTGGTCGAGGCGGTGTTCCGACCTTTGGCGGCACTCTTTGACGAGGTCCGCGGCATGGCTGCAGAGACGAGGAGGTATGGACAGTACTCGGAGCTTGCACCACGCGGCAACAAGCAACCGGCGAGCCGAGTTGGTCTCTACGATCAAGTCGGGTGTCTCGCGCGGCTTGCCCGTCGCCTCGGTGGATGGGTCTGCGTGACAGGGGTAGATTCAGAGGGGCCTTCCACGACCTTTTTGGCATGGCGGGAGCCTGCTCTAGCCGCCGCCCCACACTGACCTCGCAAGCCGGCTGGCTACCGCAAAGGTGGCGACGGTAGAGTCCATAGCCATACTCGGCAAGGAGGTGGTAGTGGGAGCCTGTGGAGGCGTTGGGCACGGACATGAGCATGGGGCATGGGGCGCTTGGCGTGGTCGCCACGGTTTGGCGCCACGTTTCCCGCGTTTTGTCTGCAGGGAGTCCCCTAGTGGCGGCTGATTGATAGCAGGAGGGTGGGCGGGGGCGATGGCGGCAGGTACGAGTCGCTGCTGATTGCCAAAGGTGAGGGATGGGTCGAGCGTCATTGTGATGGATGACATGATGATGGGCAGGTCAATCGTGAATGTACACGAGGTCGTCGCAGGGGGTTGTTTGGGTGAGGTCAGACAGAGGCACGGATGCGGACGGAGGGTTGAGGGCACACAATGAGGCGGGGAAGAACAGAAGCCGGGTGCGAGAGTTCAGCTGTCTGCTCTAACCACTCCACTTGGCCCTACCGCCACACATCCCTCTGTGCTGACGTGTGCGTGTGTGCGTGTGCGTGTGCGTGTGCGTGTGTGTGCGAGTGTGCTCGTGCTTGTCTCTGTGTGGCATGTCGGGTATCGGTGGTGACGGCAAGCAGGTGGTCGTCCTCGGCGACGATGACGAAGAAGACGACGTGGTCATGGTGGTTGCGAGCAGCAGCGGGTTGGACGGGTCAAGGAGTGGGCGGCGGAAGCGACGGCTGAGGCGCCAAGCTTTTCGCTCTGGCCGGGGCAAGTTGGCGAGGATTCTGTCGGGAGCCGCGGTGACTGTCGATTTGACTAGCGACGACGATGACGAGACTGTGGTGAGGGATGCGGCCGCTGAGGCTGCGACTGTGCTGCCACAGGTGCCTGAGCCGTCGCGAGCGGTGACTCCCCCACATGCGACACGGGGCGCAGCGGTGCAAACACCGACGCCGTCGCGACCAGTGCGCAGAGTGATCGAGAGCGACAGTGGCGGGGATGGCGAGGAGGATCTGTTGCTCGCGTCGCAGTCGTTCTTGCTGGTGGACGGAGACGACTTGGTGGGCGTCACGATCGGGTCCAAAGGCGGCGACAGCGAAGGCGGGAGCAGCGGGTCTGACCTCCTGCTGGGCGAGTTTAGCGGCAGCGTGGCCGGCCGGAGCTCGGGCACGGTCAGTGATGTCGAACTGGCAGCCATTGATGACGAGGGCGAGGGCGACGACGACGGCGAGGATGCGGTGCCCTCGCAGGAAATGTTGAACGAGTTTGATGCTGTCGCGCGGGCAAAAGAGGCGGATGCCATGCCGATGGCGCCACAGCCAGCATACCTTGCAACGCGTCTGCACGACCACCAGCGCAAGGCACTGCTGTGGATGATCCGCCGCGAACGCCCGCCGGCCAACAGCCCGCATCTGTTTTTCGAGCATGAGCCGGCACAGGATGTGTGGATCAACTCGCTCACCAAGGATGTGCACACCAAGCCACCCCAGCGGGCACGCGGCGGCATTCTTGCGGATGACATGGGCCTCGGCAAGTCTATTACAGTCATTTCGCTCATCGCATCGGACGTGTACCGTGGCGATGTGCGCGACGAGGAGTTTTGGCATCCATCGCTGATTGTGGCACCGGCGTCGCTGTTGCAGAACTGGGAGGACGAAGTGGAAAAGCACGGAGCACAGGGTGTGTTCACAACGTTGCGGTACCATGGGCAAGGACGCCGCGAAATCCTGACCGGTGCCGGGCGTGCAAAGCTCACACGACGTCACATTGTGCTGACAACGTACGGTACCCTGGCGTCCGAGTACAACAAGCTGCGGAACATGATACTTCAACGGGGGCGGTTCCCCCCGAGGCCGGGTCGCGTGCGGTGTACGATCATGTGACAACACAGGCGCGCGAGGAGGTGGACCTTGGATTCCGATCCGAGTTTGCAGAGCAGTTTCCACTGCTGATGACAACGTGGCGGCGGGTGGTGTGTGACGAGGTGCACATTCTGCGCAACTCACGGTCAGCGCGGTCGCGGGCTGCGTGCTTGCTGCGGTCGAAGCGGCGGTGGGGCCTCTCGGGCACGCCTGTGATGAACCGGTGGTCCGAGCTGTACGCGCTGGTGCGGTACGTCAAGCTGCCGTTTGTGAGCGACCCGCGTGAGTTCAAGCACCATCTTCTGGTGCCTATCAAGCGGAACGATCCGGCGGGGTACTCGCGGCTTCAGGAGATTGTGCGATACTTTCTCCTTCGGCGAACCAAGTCGATCCTGGATCTCCCGCCGAAGGAGGAGACGATCGAGTATGTGACGCTCGCTGGTGAGGAGCAAAAGCTGTATGATGCGGTCTTTCACAAGACACAGCTTGTTTTCCAGAAGTTCCTCCGTCGCGGGCTGGTGCTCAAGGAGTACATGTACTTTCTCCAACAGATCCTGAGGCTGCGACAGATTGCGTGCCACCCTCTACTTGCGACGTCATCCGAGGGCGCAACGCGGTCTCGTAGGAATGAGGATGACGAAGAGACGCGACGGGCTAGGCGCGCCGCGCGCACCCTCTGGCTTGCGCTCAAGGACCGTTCGGTGTCATCTGTGGCATCGCTGGCGCGGATGCAGGATTTAGCCAGGCTGGCGGTCGGTGTGTGCAAGCAGCTCGAGGCGACGATGACCGACTGCGTGGTGTGCCTGCTCCCGCTGCGTCGCGAAAAGATGGAGCACGCATTCGTTCCCAAGTGTCAACATTTTCTCTGCCCAGAGTGCATGGCGCTGCAACGGCAGTCGGGCTCGCGCCATGTAACGTGCCCGGCGAGTGGATGCAGCGAGGTGGTGGACCTCGAGACTGTGTTTTCGGTCGATTTCGAAAGTCTGGCCAATGCGTTTGGTGACAAACCGATTGTCAACGCCAGCTCGCCGGCGCCGAGGCAAGAGCGTACCATGGAAGAGAAGGCTGCGTGCAAGGAGGAGGTCATTGACAGTAGCGTGTACGATGGCGGGGACGATCGCGAAATGCTGCGGACTGGACTGCTGCGGTATGTGCGGAACAAGGTGTTCAAGCAGCACCTAGATGTTGAGAGCGCATCGGGCGATCCGTTTGAGAACATCCGTGATCCGGAGACGCACATGCTGTTTTCATCGGCAAAGGTGCGGCGGCTGCTCGGGCTTCTACAGGAATATGCGGCCGAGGAAGCAAAGACGGTTGTATTCTCGCAGTGGACGTCGATGCTCGACCTCATCTCGCCGCTGCTTATCGAGAGGGGGCTACGATTTGTGCGGCTTGATGGGTCGATGCGTCTCGACGAGCGGACGGCGGCTATCAAGCAGTTTTCGACAGGCAAGACCGACATCTTTCTCGTTTCGTTAGGCGCTGGCGCGGTCGGGCTCAACCTGGTGGCGGCGACCAAGGTGGTGCTGATGGACTTTTGGTGGAATCCGTTCGTGTCGGAACAGGCCATCGACCGGGTTCACCGACTCGGGCAGACAAAGCCAGTGACGGTTGTCCACCTCGCCGCCCGCAACACAATCGAGGTCAACATCCTCGAGCTGCAACAGCAGAAGAAGGACATGGCGCGCGGTGTGCTGTGCATGACGTCGCCAGAGGAGCTGGCGCAGCGCAAGCTCAACGAGCTCAAGCTCCTGTTCTCGGTCCCCGGACGCGAGGCCGACGCCAAAGCAAAGGAGCCTGCGCCGGAGAGCTCCAGCACATCGTCGGTGGCAAGCACAGCGACGGCGCCAGTGGCAGGCGGGGCGACGGAACCAACAGCAAGCTGGACAACAGCGACGATCCCGGCGCCAGCCGAGGAGCTCGGTGTACCTGTCGCCGCGGCGTCAGCGCCGACGGCCAACGACTTGGAGCATTACTTGGCCGCGCAGTCAGAGTGGATGGCGCGAATGATGGATGCCATCTCGAGCATGGTCATGCCAAGAGAGTAAATGAGGAGCCAGTATGTATGTTACTCGTCACTGTCACCGCCATCGAGGGCAAGAACCTCGAACGACTTTGCCGGCGCGGATGATTGTCCTGCCGCGAGTGCGCGCTTGCGCTCATGGTTGGAACGCTCAAGCGCCGCGCGCAGATCAGCCAGCTCGCGCTCGAGGCCAGCACGAGTTGTCGCGGCATCGGCATTGGCCTTGCGCAGAAGGTCAGCCTCGGCAGAGATGGCTGCAAATAGAGCTCGGGACTCGGCAAGGTCGGCTGCCGCAGATTCGTGCGCATGTCTGAGAGACGCCAGCTGCTCACTCAGTTCGGCGATCTCGCGATTGTGAGAAGCAGTAAGCTCGACTGTCGCGGCATCAACAGCAGCGGCAACTGCAGCATCGACATCGTCATCAGACGAGGGTTGAGGCGGTTCCGGCTGGGGCGAAGGAGGAGGCGATAACCGGGAAATGGCGGCTGTGGTGGCGTCAACGGAAGCAGCCCGAGCGCGAGACTCTGCCTCTGCCAGAGCGCGCTGGAGGTCGCAGACTGCAGCGCTGGCATTGTCGCGGGAAGTTGACAAAGATGTGGCCAAGGCTTCTGCAGAAGCCGCACGCTCGAGGGCAGCGGTAGAAGTAGCCAGGAGCTCGGCGGCTCGAGCATCGGCTTCCGCGGCAGCAGCGACGGCATCTTCACGAGCACGCTCGGCAGCATTAAGATGTGCCGAGAGTGAGTCGCAGCGGTCGCGTGTGGAATCAAGTTCAGCGCGCACAGCAGCCAGCTGGTCACGGAGAGCAGAAGCATCAGCGCGTGCGAGGGAGAGAGCAAGCTCAAGATCTTCGCTGGCGGGGCCCTGTGAAAGGGTAGCTTCCGAATCCTGGACAACTGCGGCAACAGGATGCGGTATGGTAGCAGACGCAACCAAGGCGTCGCGCTCGGCAACGACAGCTTCAAGCTGAGTAGCCAAAGCGGCGCACTTTGTCTCCATCGCTGCCGCTCTTGCTCCTGCAGTTGCCACAGACGCCTTCGCGGTAGCCAAAACATCTGCAGCGCGAGCGTTGGCAGCATCACAATCCGCGGCATGGGCGTCCGCCTCGCGACGGGCAGCTTCCTCAGCGGCAGCGGCTGTCTCCGCTAGCGCCATTTCATGCTCTATGCGGCGCTTGGTGTCATCAAGCTGACGACGGGTATCAGCGACGGTCTCCTCCTCGAGCGCAAGGCTCCGAGCGAGATCGTCGCGCTCTTGGACCACAACGGCATTGCTCTCGCGCAGCTGGGCCAGGCTGGTGGTCGACACGCGCAGCCTCTCATGGACAGCACCGAGCTGAGACTCCAGTTTGTGGACGCGAGCCTCGGCAGAGTCCCGATCCGAGCGCACAGCTGCCAGCTCGGTGGCGAGTTGCGAGGCTCGGAGCTCGAGATCAGCGGCTGAGGCCTCGGCGGCGTCGCGCTGGGAAGCAGCACGCATGCGGCCTCTTGATTCGGCCTCAAGCTTGGCAGCAAGCCTGTGGCCGCGGGCTTCTGCAACACGAGCGCGGTCTTCTGAATCGGCAGCGCGGAGGGCGACTGCAACTGGGCTGGTAGGTGGCCGAGTCGGCGTGCGTGTGTGCGCTGTATGGGTCGGGCTCGCACAGTCTGGGGAAGACCACATCGGAGACCGCAACGGTGAGTAGCTTGGGGTCCGCGGTGGGCTTCGAGGGAGAGCCCGCGGCGAAGGTGTGGCAGCGGAGGTTGTGCGTGCGGCAAGGCGGGCAGAGAGGGCATCGACACGGGCTAGAGCATCGGCGAGCTGGGCCGTGGCGGTGGTAGCTGCAGCTTCGGCTGCACGGGCACGGCCATTGGCAGCACGGAGGTGCGACACAGGCACCAGACCGTGTAGCCGAGGATGGACAGAGTAGCTAGCAAGCTCTCGCTCCAGAGCGGCAAGCCGGTGCTCTGGCGTCATGGACAGGTGGCTGCGGGTGAGAGGGAAAATGCGGCAAAGGGCCAGGGCGAGCGGTGGGCAGGTGCGTCACTCAACCAAATCAACTCGTGAGCACATGCTAGCGACCATAGAGATTGGGGAAGCAGCTGCGGCTACAGGCGGCGGAGCAATTGCCAAGAACAGCACGGTGGGAAGTGGGCGTTGATGGCCGCGATGGATGATGGTGGCGGAGTAGGGGGTGAGGGTGGTGGTTGATGGTGATGGGGTGTAATGAGTATGGTAGGGGAGGATGAGGGGGGTCGTGACGTGGGTGGCGGGACTGGCGAAGAGGTGGTGGGTATGGAGATTGCGGTGGAGGATTGATGTGGATGGGTAAGATGAGGATGATGGGTGGGTGTGGAGTGGGGGCAATGAGGGTGGAGGGGCTTGGGCGGCAAGGGAGAGGAGGGCGGACGGGATTGGATTGAGATGGACGTCGATGGGGACGATGGCTTGAGATTGGACGACGAGGCAGGCCACTGCACTCTAGCCCACCACTGCATTACCTATCGATTGCACTTGCCCTCTCTTGTTCTTCTTTGTCTTGGCCAGCCCGGTGGCCTCGTCGTCTGGCTCGGTGATCGGCAGCAGGGGCGGCTGGCGATGAGCAGGCCGGTGGGGGCTGTGATGGGCAAGGCCGGAGGAGGGAGGGAAGGATTGGGTTGGAGGGCGCACTGGTAGGCATTGCCATTGCTATAGCTATCTATATGCATTGCCTCCAATGCCCTGTCGATGGCTAGCTTGCCCTCGGTGGTGCCGGAGGTGGTCGGTCGGCGGCGGGCGGTGGTCGGCGGCGAGCAGCCGGCGGTCGGCAGTGATGCTGTTGACGGGTTGGCGTCGGCTGATGTGAATATCGACGGGCAAGGAGTCGGTGGATATGTTTGCAGGGGTAGTGAGTACGTGTGATGTGGGTGTGGTGGTTGTGGGTGGACATGGTCGGGAGTGGGGGTCGGAGATGGGCCCGGGGAGGGGGGGTCAGCACCTTCGAAGGGACACAGGGCCAACAACTTGGGCCTGAGCCGGCGAAACTCGGATTCCGGAATACAGCAGCTGTGGATCGGAAACTGCGCATGAACATCGTGTGTGTATGTAGTAGAGTAGTAGTGAAATCGGATTGGTCATATCTTGCAATGAGGGTGGTGGGGGGCGTGTGCGGGGTGGGGCGGTCGAGGACGTGCTCAACCACCTAGGGCAAACAAGTCGACGCGAAAGTGAGCCGAGGAAGATGAGAATCGACGACAGCGATATTGATACTGGAGCACGTGTGGGATGTATGATGACCTTGGGTGTGGTCGCGGGTTGTGTAGCTGGTAGTAGGAAGACGCTAGGTAGTGGTGAAGGTGGGCTGGTCGGGCGAGCGGGCGACGGCTTGCGGCTGGTGGTCGACGAGGCA